CGGGGGCCAGCGCCGGTCGTAGACCCGGGCGGCCCCCCGGGGCCGCCGACAGAGCCGGTCTTAGGGGCGGGCAGTGACTGCGTTTTGGCCCAACCGCCTGAATCCTCCCCTCAGGTTTCCCTGGTTACTCCCGACTCCTGGTTACTTTTTTGTTTTGCTCGACAAATTTTTTTCGGGCAACCCTTTGGGCGAGCCTGGCGGTTGCCTGGGGCTGCCAATTGGTTAGGACCGGCCCTGAGTGTGGGTCTAAAGATTGAATAGGCCCCGAGAAACAGCCTGAGCCGTCCAGTGCCCTTTTCACTCCTGTTTTCTATCTTCCCCAGCCCCCGTTCCTGTAGTGCCTGAGCACCTCACGATGTTAGCCTCCCAGCAAGGTTGGGCAGTGCTCCTATCCCCATTGCACCGATGGGAAACTGAGGCACAGAGCAACTAAGGGTATGTCTCTACTGCAGTCCTAGTGGCTCGGATGGACTTGTCCAACCTGTGCTAAAATACTCGCTGCTGCAGCTGTTCTGATGGCATTGTCTGGCTCTGTGCCTGTGTCTGAGACCACAGAGGCTGAAGGCAGACAGGAATTGTGTGCCTTTGCAACTAGGGTTGCCAGGTGTCCGGTATTCACCCGAACAGTCCAGTATTTTTGGCTCCTGTCTGGTAAAAAAATGCAGAGAATACTGGACACCTAAACTGTCCAGGATTTTTTGAATTTGTCTTCAGCCAGGAGGCGAAAATGCCGGGCACCTGGTAACCCTACCAACACTCATTTTACATTTTTTCTTTGGCTGACTTAGCGTCCTTTTTTTTTTTTCCTCAATAACTTTGATGTCTCCCCCTCCCCTTTTTTCCCCTTCAACAGATTTTTTTTCCCTTTTCTTTGGGGGGGAGGGGAGTTGTTCGGTATTTTTGTTTCAACCATCTGGCAACCCTATTTGCAACAGGAACTTAGTGTTCCTCCAAGGAATTTACCCGACGGGAGAACTGGTGTTTCCAGGCTGCACGATTGTTCAGAAGTTGTGCGTACGGCAGCGTTGGATCCCGGATGTTGCTGGAGCAGAGCGTCCCAGACCACAGAGGTTCTGCCTGTACCACACAGCTTTTCCTAGGCCTATAGCCACTTGCATTTTTACTGCGGGGAACACCTAAGATACTTAACTCAGCAACATTTAATTTAATGCGGTAAGGTTTGCCCAGAGCACTGTGGGAAGCACATCAAGAAAGATGTGGAGAAACTGGAGACGGTCCAGAGAAGAGCAACAAAAATGATTCACGGTCTAGAAAGCATGAGCTATGAGGGAAGACTGAAGGAACTGGGCTTGTTTAGTTTGGAAAAGAGAAGACTGAGAGGGCACATGATAGTGGTTTTCAAGTATCTAAAAGGGTGTCACAAGAAGGAGGGGAAAAAATTGTTCTCAGCCTCTGAGGGTAGGACAAGAAGCAGTGGGCTTAAACTGCAGCAAGGGAGGTTGAGGTTGGACATTAGGAAAAACTTCCTGTCAGGGTGGTTAAACACTGGAATAAATTGCCCAGGGAGGTTGTGGAATCCCCATCACTGGAGATATTTAAGAGCAGGTTGGACAGACACCTGTCAGGGATGATCTAGACAGTATTTGGTCCTGCCGTGAGGGCAGGGGGCTGGACTCAATGACCTCTCGAGGTCTATGATTCTATGTGTCACCATCCTACACACCCCTGCGATCCTGGAAGCCCTCACTCTAACCTGCTATGGGGGAGAGGTGAGGGGGGTACCGGTACTGCGGGAGGTGGCGCTAGTGCTTTAGTAGGGTGGTTAAACACTGGAATAAATTGCCCAGGGAGGTTGTGGAATCCCCATCACTGGAGATATTTAAGAGCAGGTTGGACAGACACCTGTCAGGGATGATCTAGACAGTATTTGGTCCTGCCGTGAGGGCAGGGGGCTGGACTCAATGACCTCTCGAGGTCTATGATTCTATGTGTCACCATCCTATACACATCCTATACACCCCTGCGAGCCTGGAAGCCCTCACTCTAACCTGCTGAGGGGGGGCAGGCGAGGGGGGTACCAGTACTGCGGGAGGTGGTGCTGGTGCTTTAGCGGGTGACACTGCTCCCAATGAGTGTATTGATCCAGTATGTGGTTAGCAGGCGCTGTCAAGGCGAGGGGAGGTGTAAAAGCACAGTCACTGGTGGTCAGTTATGATCCCATGGTGTGATGACAAGAACGCTGTGCCTTGGCTCACAAGCTACACACATAAATTCCCCCTCGTCTCACCCTTGCATTGCGTCTCCACTGGGCCAGAGCAGCGGTTTGACAAACTTTTTTTTCCTCATGACTCAGCTCAGGAAAATTGTTGGGCAACCCCACATAATTATATCGTTTTCACTAGCGTCAGGGCTGTGGAGTGGGGCCAGGAGGGGGTTGATGTGTGGGGGAGGAGAAGGCTCCATCTGGGGGTGCAGGCTCTGGGGCGGGGTAAGATGAGGGGTTTGGAGTATAATAAGGGGGTTCAGGCAGGGGGCAGGGCAGAGGGGTTCAGGGTGTGAGAGAAAGCTCTGGGGTGGAGTGGGGCTGGGTTTCAAGGTGGGTGCAGGCCCCATCTGCGGGTACAGGTTCTGGGGTGGGATGGAGATGAGGTGTCTGGAGCACAAAGAGGGGGCTCAGGGTTGGGGTAGGAGGTTGGTGCTCAGGGTTTGGGCCTGGGCTTCCAGTTAGCTGTGCAGCAGGGGTGCTCCGGCAGCTTCCGGCCTGTCCTGGCCCCGCATTACGCTCAGAAGTGGCCAGCAGAGGTCTGGTTCCTATGCAGAGGTGCCCAAGTGGCTCTGCGCACTGCCTGTGCCCACAGGCACCGGCCCCCAGAGCCAATGCCCAGGGCGGAGGCTGTGCAAGGAGCCCCAGCCAGTCCTGCGGGGTCTGCGGTGCCAGGAGAGGGAGGACACCCGCCATAGCGCCCCCCACTGGTCACCCTGTCCCCCTGAAGCCAGGTGCCTGACATTCCGTGACCCAGAATGGGACGCACCCCATAGTTTGAAAACCAATGGTGCAGAGAGCTGGGTTGTGCTGAGCTGTCCAGTAACGCCGCTGCTGCGTTCCACCCCAGAGGCGGACAAATTGCTGCCTGTTGCTCGTGGAGTGTGGCTTGCAGAGTCTCTGGCGCCGAAAGGGGTGCGCTGGAACGGAGTTGTGAGAAAACATTCTTCCACAAGGAGCCAAGGGGGGACCTGCCGCACCCTGGGCCCTCCAGGGAAGGCGAAGGCCGCGCCAGGACCGCTCACAGCCCCGACTGGCGCTCTCAATTAAAGGAAACTCTTAGACTTCAACTCATGTTTGGAATAAGTGCCAAGAAGCAAATGATTCCTCCTTTGCTGACCTCACATCCTTGACCCTGGATGATTAGCAGGGCTCGCTGGTGTGAAAAGCAATGCCTTGTGGTTTTTAAGGGAAATGAGGGAGGCCGGGGGCGGCATGGCTAAGTAGCTGCAGCGGGCGCTATAAATACAGGCTCCCCGGGAGAAGCGAAGACAAATCCTGGAGGGTGTTCCTGAGCCCGCTTGTGAGCGCAGCCGGGCGAGCCGTAATCCGCCATGTCTCACAGCACCCTCGCCGTCTGCCTCTTGTGGCTCTTGGCTCTCTCCTCGGCCTGCTACATCCAGAACTGCCCCATCGGAGGGAAGCGCTCGGTCCTCGACGTGGATGTCAGAAAGGTACGTGGCGCGTCCCTGGCTGCCAAGGCGGTCACAGCGCGTTTAGGGCTGGGTAAGGACTCCGCATGGACAGCTGCTCTGGGACTGCGCCAAAGGTCTGACCTGCCACCCTAGAGGGGAGATGGCTGGGAAGGGAAGGATCTGTGCCAGCTGGGATGGTAGCTGCCTAAACCCCGGCAGTGAGGCAATCACATGCTTTGCCACCCTGATCAACACCGGGGCTAGGCCAGGGGTGGGCTGCCAGGGTTACTCCGCAGGTATCGGGTGATCACAGCTCTCATGGGCTGTGGCTCACCATTCCTAGCCAATGGGAGAGGTAGGAAGCAGTGTCCCAATCCACACTGCTTCCTCCTGCTTCGATTGGCCAGGAACAGGAATCTGCGGCCAATGAGTGCTGTGGTCGCCTGTACCTGTGGAGGCGCAGGTAAATATAGAGGAGGGGGCCTGTCAGGGACTAACCCAGGAAACCACATCCAGTCCACGGGCCAGTATTTGCCCACCCCTGCGCTGGGCTCTGGGTCACTGATGCCCTTCACACAGCTGGGGTGTGGATTTTAGTATCCTAGAACACTAGGACTGGAAGGGACCTCGAGAGATTATCGAGTCCAGTCCCCTGCCCTCACGGCAGGACCAAGCTCCGTCCGGACCATCCCTGACAAGTGTCTGTCTAACCTGCTCTTAAATATCTCCAGAGATGGAGACTCCACAACCTCCCTGGGCAATTTATTCCAGTGTTTCACCATCCTGACAGGTAGGAAGCTTTTCCTAATGTCCAAGCTAAACCTCTCTTGCTGAATTTCGAGCCCATTGCTTCTTGTCCTATCCTCAGAGGCCAAGGAGAACAATTTTCTCTCTCCTCCTTGTAACACCCTTTTAGATACCTGAAAACCGCTATTATGTCCCCTCTCAATCTTCTCCTTTCCAAACTAAACAAGCCCAATTCCTTCACTCTTCCCTCGTAGCTCATGTTTTCTAGACCTTTCATTGTTTGTGTTGCTCTTCCCTGGACCCTCCTCAATTTCTCCACATCTTTCTTGAAATGTGGCCCCCAGCTCTGACCAAGAAATAGCACAAACATTAACTAACATGCACTGCCAAGTCCCTCTTCCCTTCCCTTCTCCTGTCCCCCATTCCAGTGGCTTTACATTCAGGCTGTGTCTACACTGGCCACTTATTCCGGAAAATCAGCTGCTTTTCCGGAATAACTTGCCAGCTGTCTACACTGGCCCCTTGAATTTCTGGAAAAGCACTGACGATCTACTGTAAAAAATCAGTTGCTTTTCCGGAAATACTATGCTGCTCCCGTTCGGGCAACAGTCCTTTTTCCGGAAAACTGTTCCGGAAAAGGGCCAGTGTACACAGCACAGTCGTGTTTTCCGCAAAAAAGCCCCGATCGCGAAAATGACAATCGGGGCTTTTTTGCGGAAAAGCGCGTCTACATTGGCACGGACACTTTCCCGGAAAAAGTGCTTTTCCGGAAAAGCATCCTGCCAATGTAGACGCGCTTTTTCTGGAAATACTTATAAGGGAAAACTGTTTCGTTTTAAGCATTTCCGGAAAAGGGTGTCAGTGTAGACGTAGCTTCAATGTTCAGCCAGTCGGGAAAGCACAGGCACCAGGGTATGCAGAATGCCTGGGCAGCAGGGAAGTGCAGCTGGTGATTGCCAGGACTTCGTTCAACCTGTTTACAAGCCACAGGATCTACGCTCCTAAAGCTGAGAGCACATTCTAAGACAATTGGCTATTGTGTTGCAGTTGGATGGTGAACAGCCAACATTCAGCCTTCAGCACTGGCTGAAGAACGAGAGGGAGATGATGGATTCAATCCCCAGATCTGCTATAGCCACCTTATGTGCTCTTGGGCTAGGCCTTTCATCTCTCTGTGCTTTAGCTCAGCGGTTTTCCAAATCCAAGTCACGACCTAGGACTGGGCGGTGGAATGTCGGGCGCTGGGTCTCGGTGCTGCAGAGGGGGGGGGGGGGGG